ACAGGCAGGAAGACAAAGAGGGAAAAATCAAAAGCCCATAAGACCCATTTTCAGAAGTGTCCTAAGGTACTAGGAATCTAAGTTATTCAATTAATTCTAGGTACCTACGTGTCTTTTGAAAATGTGATTTAGCTATTTTTGAAAAAAATTACCCAAGATCCCTACCCTTAAGAATTTCTAATCTAGTTAGGTAATGTGCAAATTAAAAATATAGAAAAGAAGGGATGCAATCAGAAAATTAAAGGGACTTAGACCTAATAAAAACAAAACAGCCTTGTGGAGAAAACTGTGCACATTGTTTCACAATTTGTTCATCACTTTATGAAAGTTGAAGTTTCTTTTACTTTTGGGGAAAAAAGCTTTGTTCCACTCTAGAGCTTTGTAGATGGTTGAAATATGGCAGGGAAATCATAAAAAATGTCAATAAAACTTCTTCTCCATTCCCATTTAAAAAAATTAAAAATGAAAAGTCTCATTGAATATAATATTCCAAAAATGTTGATCAGTTGTTAGGGAGCAGACAGTGAAGTTTAGGACAGGTGTTGTTAGTTGGACAATTTTTGTTAAGATTAAAAAAAAACCTGTTGGCTTCATCCTATACTCTTTTTTATGCTTCTCATGGAGGGCTAGAAGGACTTTGGACCAATGAAAGAAGAATTCAAAGGTTCCTATGTTCTAAAGTCAGTGAGACCATGCTGGTCACATACACTGAGCTCCTGTGTATCACAAATCATAGAACTTCCCTGTCGTGTTTGAACTGGAGCACATGTTTTAGGACAGAAGTACTCAATCTTTCTCTTTCTGAGACTGGTACCCCTCCCTCCCCCAACATGTTATAAAAACACCACAACCCGCCATTGCCACAACAACAATTTTCCTGCATATAAAAGCCAGGGCTGGTGTTAGCAGGGACCAAGCGGGGCAATTCCCTGGGGCCACATGCCACAGGGGGTACTGCAAAGCTAAGTTGCTCAGGCTTTGGCTTCAACCCCATATGGAAGGGCTCAGCATCTGGGGTGTCAGCCCAACATGCAGGGCTGGCACTGAGTCTAACAGTGGCCCTGCTTGGCAAACCCCATGAAACCCCATGAAGCCCTGAACCCCTGGTTGAGAACTGCTGTTTTAGGGAAGACACACTATCTTGATTTAAAAGGTGTCAGCAATGGAGACTCTCCCACAATCCTTGGTAAGTTGTTCCAGTGGCTAATTCCTCTCATTGTTAAAATGTAAAGTGTAATTTTTACACTCAATTTCCAGTCTGAATTTGCCTAGTTTCAGCTTCCAATTAGTGGATCCAGAATAGACATTGTAGACATACAAAAGGAAGCAGAGACCTCTGTGGGGGAATGCCTCATTGCTTTGGTTCCTGACTCCTCATTTGGAATGTTGGGACAGGGTTGGCAAGTGGAGAAAAAAGAATGGAAATGTAATTGGCTCTGACTTATACAGTGATTTATTAACTAAGGTCGGAGACAGAATATTTTAAATCCTTGGTTTAAATAGCCTTGCCAAAAGGCTTCACAATGGCAGCCTGATGCAAATATATTTTCAGAGGGAGGTTGTGGAGAGAAATATTGTGCAGGAAGAAGTTTTTTTGAGCTCATCTTATGGCCCAACCAAACTAAGCCTGCTATATTTACACTATATAGGCTACATCTAGACTGCAAGCTTCTTTCAGAAGAAGCTTTTTCTGGAAGAGATCTTCTGGAAAAGCTTATTTCAAAAGAGAGCGTCCACACAGCAAAAGCGAATCGAAAAAGCAATCTGCTTTTTCGAAAGATAGCGCCACATTGATTGGATGCTATCTCACAGTTAAGTTGTGATTAGTATGGGTGGAGTGGCCATCAGGGCACCTGTGTTATTTCCTGTAGGCCTCTTCTTTTGAAAGAACTCCCTCTTTTATGTCCACACACACCTTTTTCAGAAAAAGGCTTCTTCCTCGTAGAAAGAGGTTTACCGCTGTCAGAAAAACCCTTCCATTCTTTTGGCTTTCTGTCAAAAGAATGCAACTGCAGTGTGGACATAAATATAGTTTTTCCGGAAAAATGCTACAGTGTAGCTGAGAGAGCTGAGTCAAGCAGTGTGAAGGCATTTTCATCCTGTTATCTATATTCTGTAATGCATTTTAAGTCTAGCGATACTATAAGTGAAGTGAAGGAGAGGCAGTTTAGGAGAGGCTGAATGAAGGAAACATGAACAAAAGCAGGAGCAGCGTGTTCTTGAGTGACTCTGTTACATCATGTCTCTGGTTATATAATGGTTCACAAAGTGATTATATATTACAGGAAAAGGCCAACAAACGGGTTGACATTCTCATGCCACCATTTTTTTCTTTTTATTATTTCTGGATAAAATGGGATAGGGGCTCCCTGGGAAACATGAATGGCTCTGAGATACTGATAGAGCTCTACAGTGTAGTGCAGATTGACATAAAAGGGTATAAATAGGCTGGAAGACAAGAACCCACTTTAAAACACGTGCTAAAAAGAAAAACTAGACAGTTCACTGCTCAGGAAATGGGTTGAAGGTTATCAGGAGAAATAAAAGTCACCCTACTGCACAACTGCAAGCCACTAGGATGTATTCACACAGGCACTGAATTCAAAAGGAAAGAGGTGATGCTCTTACTTGTACAAGGTAGCACTTAGACCCTATCTGGAATACAGCATGCAGGCCTGGTTGCCATTCCAAAGGAAAGATATTAGTGCTTCAAAAAAGGAGATACTGTTACCATATAAGCTCCTTGTTAGACCTCATCCGGACACTGCATGCAATACTGATGCCAATCTCTCAGGAAGGTTATTATTGCCTTGCAAAGGGAGATACAATTACTCTATAAGGAACTTGTTAGACTTACAATGGTTGTGGAGTGGTCACATGCTTACCAGAAGGATGTTACTGCCTGGGAAGTGTACTGTTGCTGTTCTTGCATAAGATCTTGTATTGCTCTCCTTCCACTCTGCACCATCCCATGGGAGGAAAAATACTGCCACCTTGTAGATGTTGCCGTTGTTTCTAACTGTGATACATCTTATTAAAAGCTCATCTGGAACAGAGTGTACAGTGCTGGACCCTGACTTACAGGGTTTCATGTGCCTTGACCAAAAACTCTGCAAGACTTTAGACTGGGGTCCCATGCGGATTCTGTGACACAGCATGGAATGGAGGCCTGGTGTCCTAAGCTAGCTACAGGCATATCATTCCTTTCCTGTGCCTTGCCCCACCCTCTTTAAAAAAAAGACTGACAGCTCTGGAAATAAAGGGTGTATGCCACGCCACTTAACCCATCTCCTGCCAATATCTGGCAAACTTTTCTTTCTTTCTCAAGAACCTCCTGGTGGGGTATAGAAGCAACTATTTCTATTAATTTTGTTATCAAGTTCACTAAGGTAACTGAAGCTCCTAGTTTAGTGATTTTATTATCCAAAGCAAACTAGATAGAGCATACCATTCATGAACTGTAACCAGCACTACAGGAGGGGAGACTTGTAAGCAGGAAGGTTGCTGCTAGCTATTCTATTTTCAGTAGACAATCGAAGCAAAAAAGGGAGTGTCCTAGCTTTTGCTTGAATAATTTTTAAATGAGCAAGCTGCTGAGCAGTTGAGCAGAGAGTCTCCTCCTGTGTCAGGTATTAGTATTCTGTATATTTCAGTGTGGTTCAAAATAGATTGGGGAAGAGGCCAAGGAGCACCTGTTTCCCCCTCAGAAGTGGGAAGTTCTTTTGTCCCCCTCCCCAGGGAGAGGGGAAGCTGGGAAACCTGAAGTATCAGTTGGCATCTTTGAGGCTCCTGCTGGTGCCTCCAAAGCAGCTGGCACTTTGAGAGTGAGTGCGACATCTCTCAGGTGGGCTGTGCTTCAGGGGGAACGTGTCTACATAAGTATAGTTTTTCTGGAAAAAACACTACAGTGTGGACATACCCTAAAAGAGAGCTGAGTCAAGCAGTGTGAAAGTATTTTCATCCTGTTATTTTCTGTAATGTATTTTAAGTGAAGTGAAGGAAAGGCAGTTGGATACTTTAGTATCTTAGGACATGACCCAAAAGCTCTTAAGTATTCAATGAGTCTTCTCACATTCTTAAAGATGGGTACATGTTCAAACACTCTGTTGAACTGCAGCATTAGCAAAGACACCAGGACAACAAAGAAGGCCCAATTCCTGAGAGGTAAAGGGCCTTATCCAAAGCTCCTCAAAGTCATTTTGAGACCACATTGACTCGGATGGGCATTGAATCAGGTTCTAAGCTGGAAAGAAAAAAATTGCAACAGCAGAGTATTAAAACAATCTAGGATTGTTTGAGATCACTGATTAGGGTTGCTAACTCTGAGAGCTGGCAACCCTATCACTAGAATGAATTGGGGGACATAAAAACTACAAATGAATTATGTTAAAGACAAATCTCTTAAAATAAGCTCCTTCTTGACCCTCCTGCCAAAACCTGATTTGAGTCTCATCTTCCCAGCTGTACATGTGTTACTGAAACTCAGCCTTTACCTCATTTTACTTCATTATAATGTTAACTGGTGTCAACATTTGAACTTGATTGCTGAGGTTCTCTCACTCCCCTTTAAAATGCCTTTACCTATCATTTTTTATTCTGCACAAATAGTCCCTGAGTGATTTGGGATCTTAAAGAGTTCTTTTTATTTATCACAGCACCCTTTGAGCAATATGTGTTACAGGTAAGGTTGAAATCAAGTTTACATTCTAGTTTTTACCAGTTGATGTTTAAGACATCTCTCTAACAAACTGGGGTGTTTTTTTGTTTTTTTGTCTCAGTCCAGTGATTTTTCTTTTTCTTTGAAAAGTTTATGGGAAGATTTTTGAAGCTGTTTTGAATTCTTGAAGCATGAAAAAACTGAAATGTATCCATGTTTTTCAAATAGAAATTTTCTAGTTATATAATTCAAAAGCAGCTGAAGTGAGAAACTTCAAACATGACCCATTTTATAGATCTAATTGAGACTTAAGCATCAAGCCAAGTTGTGAGAAAATGGTTTAATGATTCTTAAACTTCAAAAGTGATTGAAATTGGCATTTTAAAACATCCACAAGACATTTTCTACTCATTTTCAATTAATCTTTAAAAGTTGTCATCTCCATTGTCAAACCTGGAGACTCCTGTAAATTCTGTAAACAAGTATTTACATATCCATCCCAATATCAAGGATATGGAACATCTTGTTGATGAATGAAGCCAGTCTGGTGAGCTCAACAAGCCAAATAGCTTCATATCAAATAACTTCTGCCAGCTGAGCACAGGACACCTGCATGAGAGATAACAAGGCTAGTGTGAAAGTCCCTCAGCAGAGCCTACATCTGGGGAGTCCATAGTACAGAATTAGGACTAAGGAATTTAAAAGCTGTGCTGGAATACTTGGAAGAGCATTTAGGCCCAGATATACAAAGATATATAAGTCCTTAACACCCACTGCAAAAGGAATTAGTACCTAAATATCTTGAGAATGTGGGCCCTAGTTTCTCCAAACCAAATGTCTTCTCTTTCCTTTTTTAGTTTTCAGTGCAGCAATAGTAATCTTAGATGATGGCAAGAATCAGAGGGGTAGCCATGTTAGTCTGAACTGCATAAACAATAAGTCCTGTGGTACCTTATAGACCA